TCAAAAAGGAAAATAATAACCTCATAGAGATTGACTATAATCAAGCATGCAAATATTCATGAATACACAGCCACAACCTGTACTTATATCTTACAACCAGTAGATGGCGATTACAAGCTTTAATCCAGATAAAAACAAGTGGTTTTCAACTCAAAGGATAGAAGAAAATAAGTGAAAGAGGACAGAGGAGAGAAGAGCAAACAAGGGGAGAATGAGAGGAGCTTGAAGGGAAAAGAAAGGTTGGAGGGAAGGAGTGGGAAATGGCAGGGTGATAGAAGGTATGCTTGCAGTTCAAATGTCTCTCTGAGATATACTTAGTTCAGAGTTCTCTTTCCAGAAGTTAAATTTGCAGCTAGCCCTGCTGGTGGGAAAGAAATTTGTATTGGCTTCCAGGCAGATATTGAAGAAGAGAATTTTCTTATTCCATAATCCCTCCAACTGATTTTAGTAAAGAGAGGGCCTCGGATGCCTTTTGACCCCATGGAGCAAGAAATGTTCTTGAAAAACCTCATAACTATTCTGCTCCCTGGGTGTCTCTTTCTTTCTAGTTAAGCTGAAAATCCTAGCACAGGAAGAGAAAAGTTGGAACAGACAAGTTCCCAATATATTACTGGGAGCATTTACTAAAGTCAAAACAAAGAGGAAAATTCTAGTCAAGTTGACCTTTTGAGATTCAGATGGAGACCATTCCCAAAGGAAGAATTAGGCATGAAAATGCTCAAAATTGGATGTTGGCTGTGGTTCAGCAATGGTTTGGGGGAATTACAGGACTAAAGATGAATAAGGAAATAAAGGAGAAGGTATAGGAGCTTCTTGTCTCTTTCTTTGAGAATATAAATCCATTTTACTTCCTCTTAGTGCAGACTATCTTGAGCAAACATTAGATCTATCTTCCTGGATAGACATGGGAAGATCAGGAGTTCAGAGAGGTTACGGGCAATTTTCTGTAGGTCAGAAGTCAGGCATGGGTCTCACCAGGCTAAAGTCAATTGCTTTTTCCCTACTGAGAGCTCTAGGGGAGGTTCCATTTCCTTGCCTTCTCCGGTTTCTAGAGGCCACCTGCATTCTTTGGCTCAGGGCCCCTTCCTCCCATTTTCAAAGCCAGCAATATTGCAGTTTTATGACCGTTATTCCTCAGTCACATCTCCTGCTGACCACAGCCCAGGAAGGTCCTCCTGATTTTAAGAATGCATGTGATTAGATTGTACCCACTCAGATAATCCAGGATAATTGCATAATTTCAAGGTCAAAACCCTTAATCATATCTGAAACAACAAAATCCATTTTGTCATGTAAGGTAACATATTCATAGGTTCCAGGGATTAGAGGAGAGAGGGACAGGGAAGGAGGTAGGGAAGAAGGAAGAGTGAGAGCCAGGAGACAGAGAAAGAGAGAGAGAGAGAGAACCAAGTTCACATAATAAATGAACACTTTTTGTCTAGGAATATTCAACAGAACTGCTTAGAAATGGGTATAGTGCATCAGTCAGTTGATCAGACAGGTACTTTGAATGTCTCAGATATTAAAAGAGGCTTTATTTTTGGTGGTATGAATTTGACAGTGACAGAGAAATGTTAAAAGTAAATTTAAAAAAAGAAGATATTTGTCTTTCTTGGTCTGACTTTTTCAATGAGCATAATACCCTCAAAGTCCATCCATATTGTCACAAATGGCAAGATTTCATCTTTTCTTAGAGCTGAATAGGATTCCATTATACATACCATATCTTCTTTATCCATTCATCTGTTGATAAGCACTTAGGTTGTTTCCATATCTTGACTATTGTAAATAGTGCCACGATGAACATAGGGATGCATATATCTTTTCAAATTTAGTGTTTTTGTATTCTTTGGATAAATACCCAGAAGTGGAATAGCTGGATCACACAACAGTTTTACTCAATTTTTTGGAGGAATTTCCATACTATTCTACAGTATGGAATTGGCTACACCAATTAACATTCTCACCAACAGTGTATGAGGGTTCTCTTTTCTCCACATACTCACAAACACTTGTTATTTCTTGCTTTTTGATAATAGCCATTCTAACAGGTGTGATATGATATCTCATTATGGTTTTGATTTGCATTTCCCTAATAATTAGTGATGTTGAACATCTTTTTATGTGCCTGATGGCTACCTGTATGTCTTCTTTAGAAAAATGTCTATTCAGCTCCTCTGCCCATTTCTTAATCGGATTGTTTGTTTTAGGTTGTTGTTGTTGAATTGTATGAGTTCTTTATATATTTGTATATTAAACCCTTAACAGATATATGATTTGCAAATATCTTCTCCCATTCAGTAGGTTTTTTTGTTCATGGTTTCCTTTGCTGTGCAGAGGCCTTTTGGTTTGATATAGTCCTATTTGTTTATTTTTGATTTTGTTTACTTTGCCTGAGGAGACATATCCAGAAAGATATTGCTAAGACTGATGTCAAAGAGTGTAATGCCTATGTTTCCTTCTAGAAGTTTTATGGTTTCAGGCCTTATATTCAAATCTTTAATCCATTTTGAGTTGATTTTTGTGTGTGGTGTGAGATAGTGGTCTAGTTTCTTCTCTTTTTTTTTTTTTTTTTGCATGTATCTGTCCAGTTTTCCCAACACCATTGATTGAAGAGAGTAAGCTTTCTCCATTGTATGATCTTTGCTTCTTTGTCATAAATTAATTGTCCATATATGTGTGGGCTTATTTCTGGGCTCTCAATTTTTTTCTTTTGATTTATGTATCTGTTTTTCTGCAAATACCATGCTGTTTTGATTACTATAGCTGTGTATTATAGTTTGAAATCAGGCAATATTATACCTTCAGACTTGTTCTTTTTCTCTCAGGATTGCTTTGGCTTTTTGGGGAATTTTTGTTCTATTTCTTTGAAAAATGTCGTTGGGATTTTGATAGGGATTGCATTGAATATGTAGATTGTTTTAGGTAATATGGACATTTTAACAATGTTTAACCTTTCAATCCATGAGCAAAGAATATCTTTCCATTTATCTGTATCTTCTTCAGTTTCTTTCAACCATGTCTTTAATAAGTCATATGGAGAAAGACAAATACCATATGTTTTTACTCATATGTGGAATATAAAAAAAATGAGCAAACCAAACCAAACAAAAATAAACATGTAGATACAGAGAACAGAGTAGTGGTTGCTAGAGGGGAAGGGGTGGGGGTGAGGGTGAAATAGGTAAAGGTGTCAACTGTGTGATGATGGTTGGAAACTAAATTTTTGGTGATAAGCATGCTGCACTGTATACAGAAGTAGAAATATAATGTGGTACACGTGAAACTTATATAATGTTATAAACCAACATTACCTCAATTTAAAAAAATGAAATAAATAAATAAATAAATGGTACAGTAGTCCTGCTTCATGCCATACTAGATGGCATGATGATGATGATGATAACAACAATTATTTTTACCAATAACTTGCTAAGTCTGAAGCATTATTCTAAACATTTTACATGAAAAATCTTATTTAGTCTTCCAAATAACCTCAAATCCATTTTACAGATAAGGAAAAGGAGACATAGAGAACTTAAGTCATTTGCACACTTATAATTAGTAGAATAAAGAACCCATCCATCAGTAGTCTATTTTATACATAGTATCAATAATATATACATGTGTAAATACCAGTCTCCCAATTCCTCCCACCCCACGCCTTTCCCCCTTGGTATCCATACATTTGTTCTTTACGTCTGTGTCTCTATTTCTGCTTTGCAAGTAAGATCATCTATATCATTTTTCTAGATTCCACATAAATGCCTTATAATATGATATTTGCTGTTCTCTTTCTGACTTACTTCACTCTGTATGACATTCTCTATGTCCATCCACGTCTCTGCAAATGACCCAATTTCATTCCTTTTTATGGCTGAGTAATATTCCATTGCATATATGTACCACATCTTCTTTATCCATTCCTCTGTTGATGGACATTTAGGCTGCTTCCATGTCCTGGCTATTGTAAATATTGATGTTATGAACATTGGGGTGCATGTGTTTTTTTAGAATTATTGTTTTCTCTGGGTATATCCCCAGTAGTGGGATTGCTGGGTCATATGGTAGTTCTATTTTTAGTTTTTTTAAAGAACTTCCATACTGTTCTCCATAGTGGCTGTATCAATTTACATTCCCACCAAAAGTGTATGAGGGTTCCCTTTTCTCCACACCCTCTCCAGCATTTATTGTTTGTAGATTTTTTGATGGCGGCCATTCTGACTGGTGTGAGGTGATACCTCATTGTAGTTTTAATTTGCATTTCTCTAATAATTAGTGATGTTGAGCACCTTTTCATGTGTTTGTTGGCCATCTGTACTGATGGGAACATACTGTATAGCTCAGGGAACTCTACCTAATGCACTGTGGTAACCTAAATGTGAGGGAAGTCCAAAAGGGAGAGGATATCTGTATATGTATGGTTGATTCATTTTGTTGTGCAGTGGGGACTAACACAACACTGTAAAGCAACTATACTCCAATAAAAATTAATTTTATAAAAAGATATTAAAAAAAAAGAACCCATCCAGCTGGCTGTGGAGCTCAAGCTTTTAACCATTATACTCTACTGCTTCTACAGTTTAGCCTTTCATGAAGAACTTAAGAAAGTTATATAAATAGTTTCTAAACGCCAACTAAACATGCATAGCCCCTGGTTGTTGAGGGATAGCATTTCTTCTGTTTGACTTTGAAAGAAGAAATTATCTCAAAGCTTATCAGTACTACCCTTTTTCAGGGATTGATAACTTGAAATGGTGTCAAAGTTTCCTTTATATTCAGTGGTCCATGTCTCCATTGCTACTTTGTCAGCTCTTGCCTGCAAGGGATGATGGGAGGTAGGAAGACACTGCAAAACAGTTCTCTCCAGTACTGTTATTTTTGCCAGTTTTATTTGAATGAGTTTTCACATCTACTCTAGGGCTTAGAAAACAAATGATGTGTTTGCAGGCACAAAGAGGAATGTATAATACCTAATATTCATTTTTGATTCATTTTAGAGATAAGTTTGAGGAGAAAGGAAATGGAATATACAATGTCTATCCTCAAGAGAGTAAAGATAAATTGTTTAGATCTTCACTTGATAAACTCTTCCTGGACACCTTGGCCTGCAATTCTCAGAGTATGAGGTGAATGGGGTAAGGCCTTATTGGAACCAGACCTGGCTTCCCACAGATATTGGTGAAGGAGAAATGATATAGAAAATATTTCTAGTCAAGTATTTTTCCTCCATCAAGATAGAATTATTTCTTAAAATTATTATTTTTGAAATGATTGATATTATTTATTAAATAATTATATATTATTTGTTAAAAGTAACCATTGGCTAATCATTTTTAAAAGGCAATATGCAATTAGTATGATAATATTCTCTTTTGTATAGATCTTTACAGTAGGCAGATATTTTCTTTTTTTTTTTCCTTTGATTTGCATAACAGGTAAAGAAGACAGCAAGGAATTCTACAAACAAAGAAGATTTTCAACAATTGCCTAATCTCCCTTAGTCATTAGTTGCAGAACAAGAAGTTTAATCCAGGTTATCCAAATCCCAGTCCAGTGCTTGTCCCCAGTTGTCTTCAGAGAAGCACATCCAAAAGACAGGTGGTGAAAAAAGACAAAGGAGTGTTGGAGAGACAGTAGATAACAAATTAGGTTTAGTGTTTGTAATAGCTATATTTATTAAACAAAAACAAAACAGGAGAAAACCCTAACCTACCCTCTGCCACCAAGAGGTTGATGCCTCCAGTTGGCTGTCTATGTGCTGTCTTGTACAGATATAGGGAAAAATGGCTAGAAGGGTCTCAGACAAGGAGATGGTTGACAGGATGGAATGACTGTCAGAGCATGCACTGGAGGCCAAGGTCAGTTCATATAGAAACTATAATTAAAATGCTAACAATAGTTGGTATTTACTGAAGGTCTTCTGTGTGTTCTTTTCTTACGTATATACTCTCTAAAACTCAACCCAAGGTAAATCCTATACTTATCCATAGTGTATGGACATAAAATTTAAGTCCCAGAAAGGTAAGAGAATTGCTTAAGCTCACATAGGTAGTAAGTTAAAGAGCTGGGGTTCCAGACCCAGATGTAATTGGTTTTATGGGTAGCATATTATTTTTTATTTCTATATTGAATATATGAATATTTTTTAGTTCTATATTGAATATATGAATATTCCTTGGAAAAATTAATATATTTTCATATAAGAATAAACTACTTTCTCAGTCTCTGTCTTAATCCCTTCTTCTTTTTTGGTTTGTATCTTACTAAACCTTTTTCTATGCATTTACATATGCTATAGAAAGTATATCATGTAATGTGTGTGATTGTATGATACCATACTGAATATATTGTTCTGCAGTTACTTTTTATTCAGTTATGTATATATTCTCTCTATCTATCTCTATCTAATCTATCATCTATCTATATTAATCATTCCATATCATTAGTCTTTTTAGCTGATAAACTGTAGTCCATTATATAGATAAATCATGATATTTTTCAGCCGATACTTTCTTAATGGACATTTAAGCTGTTCCAACGTTTTCATTATTGCCAATAATGCTGAACATCCTTGCATATGTCTCCCTGTGCATAGGTACAAAAGTTTATTTGTTGTAGTAACCATATGTCTTTGTGCAGACACATTATAATTGTTGACAAACACTGCCTAATTGCACTCTCAAGTGATGGTCACAATTTATACTTCACCTGCAGTGTTTGAGAGTGCTTATTTCTACATTCTCTGTTTTTGCCAACTTACTTGGTGAAAAAAATTGTGTTAAACTGTGTTTTCCTGCTTACTAATGAGGTTGAACTTTATTTCATATAGGCATTAATAATTTGGTTTTCCTCATCTTTTAAATATCTATGTATACATTTTGCATTTTATGATTGGAATATTTATCTTATTATTGATCTGTAGGAGTACCTTATATATTCTAGATACTAATGCTTTCTCTGATATTTATGTTGCAAATATTTTCCCCAATATTATCACTTGTATTTTAAATTAAGAATGGTATCTTAGACTTCGCTGGTGGCACAGTGGTTGGGAATCCGCCTGCCAGTGCAGGAGACACGGGTTCAAGCCTTGGTCCAGGAGGATCCCACATGCCACAGAGCAGCTAAGCCTGTGTGCCACAGCTGCTGAGCCTGTGCTCTAGAGCCCGCGTGCCACAACTACTGAAGCCCGCGAGCCTGGAGCCTGTGCTCTGCAACGAGAGAGGCCACCACATTGAGAGGCCTGTGCACTGCAGCGAGGAATAATCTCCACTCGCCACAGCTAGAGGAAGCCCGCACGCAGCAACAAAGACTCAATGCAGCCAAACATAAATAAATAAATATTTAAAAAAATGAATGGTATCTTTTTGTCATACAGAATTTTTTAATAATGGCTTAGTCAAATTTATTGATGCTTTTCTTTTTGTTTCTTTTGCTTTTTATTTTGAAATAATTATAGGCTCACAGGAGGTTGCAAAATAATAGAGTTTCTTATACCTTTCACCCAGTTTGCAATAATGATGACATCTTAAAGAGCTGTAGTTCAATATCAAAACCAAGAAACTGACATTGGTACAATGCTATTAACTATATTGCAGATCTTATTCTGTTTTCACTATTTTTACATGTATTAATTTGTGTTTATGGGTGTATTTCTATGCTATCTTAATCTTATGTGTAGATTCTCGTAACCACCACTGCAACCACCATGCACAACTATTCAATGACCAGAAAGATCTTCCATGTGCTATCCCTTTATAGTTATACCCTCCTCTTCTCTGCCATCCCTAAACTATGATAGCCACTAATCTGTTCTCTACCTCTATAATTTTGTCATTTTGGAATTACTTATAAATGGAAGCATATAGTATGAAACCTTTTGAAACTTACTTTTATCACTAAATGTAATATCTTTGAGATTCATCCAGGTTTTTGCATGTATCAATAGTTTTCTCCTTTTTGTTGCTGCATAGTATTCCATAGTATGGATACAAGAGTTTGTTTAAACATTAACCTTCTAAGTAACATCTGGGATATTTCCAGGTGAGGCTATTACAAATAAAGCATTCATGAATATTTGTGTACAGGTTTTTGGTGTAAAGAGAAGTTTTAATTTCGCTGGGCTAAATGACTAAGAGTTCAAGTTGTTGGGCCATATGGTAAGTGTATGTTTAACTTTATAGGAAACTATCATACTCTTCCAGAGCAGTTGTACTATTTCACATTCCTACCAACAATATATGAGTAATCCAGTTCCTCTGAATTCTCACCTGCATTTTGTATTGTTCCTGTTTTTTTTTTTTTAATTTTAGGCATTTTGATGGGTGGGTACTGATATCTCATTGTAGTATTAATTTGCATCCCTCTAATGGCTAAGGATATTGAACATCTTTTAATGTGCTTATTTGCCACAAGTATCCTCTTTGGTGAAATGTATGTCTATTCATGTGTTTTGCTTATTTTCTAGTGATATAGTCAACCTTATTAATGTTTCTCTTTATACTTTTACTTTTTAATCTTTCTTCTTTAGAAAAAGCACTTCTTAAGCTCCAAATCATATATATTCATTTAATGCTTTTGTAATCTTTTTTTAACATCTTTATTGGAGTATAATTGCTTTACAATATTGTGTTAGTTTCTGCTGCATAACAAAGTGAATCAGCTATATGTATACATATATCCCCAGAGCCCCTCCCTCTTGCATCTCATTTATGATAAAAACTCTCCAGAAAGTAGGCATAGAGAGAACTTACCTCAACATAATAAAGGCCATATATGACAAATTTACAGCCAACTTCATTTTCAATGGTGAAAAACTGAAACCATTTCCTCTAAAACCAGGAACAAGACAAGTATGCCCACTCTCACCACTATTATTCAACATAGTTTTGGAAGTTTTAGCCACAGCAATCAGAGAAGAAAAAGAAATAAAAGGAATCCAAATCGGAAAAGAAGAAGTAAAGCTGTCACTGTTTGCAGATGACATGATACTATATATAAAGAATCCTAAAGATTTTACCAGAAAACTACTAGAGCTAATCAATGAATTTGGTAAAGTAGCAGGATACAAAATTAATGTAATCTTTTTTTAAATTGAAGTATACTTGATTTACAATATTGCATTAGTTTCAGGTATACAGCACAGTGATTCAGGATTTTTTTGCAGATTATATTCCATTATAGGTTATTACAAGATATTGAATATAATTCCTGTGGTATACAGTAAATCCTCATTGCCTATTTTATGTATAGTAGTTTGTATCTATTAATCCCATACTTCTAATTTGTCCCTGCCCCCCTACCTCTCTCTTTTGGTAGTCATAAGTTTGTTTTCTATGTGAGTCCTTTTTTATTTTGGGGACTCTATTCCAGAACTAACTTTTGTGAGTTCTGTGAGGTACGGTTTTAATGTTATTTTTTTCCCCAAAGCAACAGCAATTGAACAACTGAATAATACATTTGTTTACCACTGTTGGAAATACTATTTATATCACATTCATGATTCATATATATCATATACTAATTGCTAAACATATACTATATGTTAATTGTATGTAATCATGTACTAATTATGTCATATACTTACTATATAATCTGTTTCTATACTCTAATTCTACTGAGCTATTTATTTAATCTTTAACCAATACCACACTGTTTTATTTTATATAGTCCTATCATATGTCATAATATCTGATAGAATGGGTTCTACTCCTTATGTATCTTTTTTTTCCAAACATGAATTGGCTACTGTACATTTAATCCAACATAAAAATTTTAAAATCATTTCCATGAAAAAAATCTTATTGAGGTTTCCATTGACATAGCACTGAACTTATAGGTTATATGGGGGGATAAATGATTATATATTTACAATATTTATTCACTCCTCCATTAGCATTATAAAACTCTCAGTTGACTCAAATCTCCTTTTATGTCATTGCCTGTCATTTTTCTACATAGCACATTACCTCTGCAGGGATGGAAGATGAAATTTGAAGGACAGCAGCAGGATTGGAGCCTTACTAGGTGTCACAACTTGGCATGTGGTGGTCTTAGCTGTAGGATAAAAATAGGAGGTTTCAAGAGTATGGGCATGGACAGAGGAAGACTGATAGTGTGGTTCCTTAGTGTCAGAGCCCCATGTACAAACCATGGGAGATGCTTAGGGGGCACCTATAGCTACCAAGGCAAACACAGAGCTCTAATATTAGAAGAAGATGCAAGACTGGGTGGCAAAGCTGGCATCACAAACTTAACACAACCTGAGAAGAGTTTGGATAAAAGTCACTTGTAGTAATTAAGAACCCACAGAAACTGAATTAGGCCTCAGTTTTTATAGTATTTTTTAAAATATTGCTAATTTCTATTAGGCATTGAAATACAGACAGAATTTCTCCACCTCCTACTTTTACCCCAACCCCAGTGAGTTTACCTGATAATATTTTCTTCTAGCTAATGTATTGGCTGAGTGCACTTTGACTGAGAGAAAATGTGGTTTTGATCCTGTTAGGGAGAGTAATTTAGGATTAAATACTTGCATCAGAGAAACTTCTTATGTATTGTCCAGGGAGGGTACATTTATAGGAACTAAACTCCAAACCAGAAGAATAGTCTAAAAGTCTTATTCCAATTCCTGGCTCTGCCACTTACTAACCATATATCCGTGGGCAAGTTACTCAACCTCTCCGAGAGTGTTTCCTCATCAGGTAAACGTGGATAGTAACAGTACCTACACCACCAGCCTGTTCTGAAGAATTAAATGAGACTGTGTACATAAAACACCTGCTAAAGGGCCTGTCATGTGGTAAGCACTTAAGGCTCCAGGTTATCACTCAACCTGTTACAGGGAAAGACCATTTAAAATAATAAGGTAAAAAAAAAGCACAAGGAAACTTCAGATAAATATCTGAGAAAAACATATGACCATGAAAACAATGGTGACTTAGATGCCTCTGAGAGGGCAATGCCTTAGCAGCTGTGATTTCATCAGTGTGGGGTGAAGGCAGGTTGTGCAAGCTAGGAAGTTGGCCTGGCAGATAGCCTAAGTCAATGGCCAGGGAGCCTGTTTCTATTGCTATTTTCCAAGGCTTCCTTAAAAGTGATAACTGACCTGAATTTTAAAATAGAAAAAAGAGTGAGAGCTCGCCTAGGAACTAGTTGTAGGTGAAAGTGAGAAATGTGGTTCTCATTTACTCAAATAATTGCTTCCAGATGAGTCACCCATTAAAAGAAGT